CTCTGAACTTACTGGGCCAGAAACAGATGATCATATTGAACTGGGATAGGAATTCTGACCAGCAAGCTTGGCAGTGAATGAGTACTTTAGAGGTAGAGAAGTACTCCAGGTTTTTGTGATTGGTGACAACATTGACCAGTGAGGCTGAGCCCCCAAGGTAATGGCACCAGGTCTGGAATGCTTCAAAAATTGCAAGCAAATCCTTATCATGAGTATTGCAGTTCAACTCTGGGGCACTCAGAGTCTGTGAGTAGAAAGTGACCAGATGTATCTGGTCATCACTGCAGGTAATGGAGAGGATTCCAGCAATGGTGTAGTCTGAAGCATCAGTCTTGATGGTGATGGGGACTCCAGGGATGAAATGAGTTAAGACTGGCACAGTAGTGAAGGTGACCTTGAGGTTATTGAATGACTGGTGGCATTCCTCATTTTAGTTCCAAGGGGCACCTTTGTGAGTAAGCCAGGTTAACAGTACAACAATGTCTGAATAGTTAAAGATGAACCAGCAATAGAAGTTAGCAAAGCTGAGGAAAGACTGTATGTCCTTGACCTTGCAAGGCTCAGGCCAATTGCAGATGGTCTGGACCTTTTCCTTTGACATCATGAGGCTGGCAGGGGAGACATGGAAACTGAGATACTCAACCAAGTCTGAGTTGAACTCACATTTCTCTGGCTTCACATACAGGCTGTGAAGCTGAAATTGGTGGAGTACCTATCAGACATGCTGCTTATGAGACTCCCTATCTCTGGAGTAGATTAGAATGTCATCTAGGTAGATGACTACACAGACATCCAACATGTCTGCAAAAATGGTATTCATGAAGTGTTGGAAGGTGGCCAGGGCATTGGTGAGGCTGAAAGGCATCACTAACCACTCATAGGACCCATACCAAGTCTGGAAGGTGGTCTTCCATTCATCACCCAGAACAATCCAGATGAGATGGTAGGCATGCTAGAGGTCAATCTTGGTATAGATTTTAGCCCAGCTTGGTGAGTCCAAGAGATTGGAGATGAGTGGTAGTGGATAGTGGTCCTTCTTAGTTATTTTGTTCAAGCCCTGGAAATCCACACAAAGCTGGAGTGGGCCATCCTTCTTCTTGACAAAGAGGACCAGTGCAGCATAGGGGGAAGAGGTTGGGTGAATGAATCTGGTGGTGAGGTTTTCATTGATGAAAGTCCAGAGAGCCTGAAGCTTGACTGGGGACAGTGAGTAGATAGTGCCAAGAGGCAGGGTTGTTCCTTCTTCAAGCTCTATCTTCAAATCATACTCCCATTGAGGGGGGAGTGTTGAGGATTTGGCCTTGCTGAACACATAAGTGAAGTCATGATACTCTTCCAGTACATTGGGTAAGGCCAGAGGAGGGGAAGCCAAGGCTGATTGGGCTTGAGCTGAGTCTGAGGGGTGGAGCTGGATGGGCTGAGAGGGGGCAGACAAGGATGGGGTGTACCAGGATGCTTCAGGATGGAAGCTGGTAGGAACTCCTGGTAGATATATGTAGCCATGGTCCCTAGTAAAGGGAACAAGTGAAATGATTGATGTGGAGGTGGCCATATCAGAAGAATTAGTGAAATGAGTGTCTTTTGGAGGGAGTGCTGTAGAAATGTGTGGAGTGCACAAATCCTTTCCACTTTTGGAAGGTAGGATCACATGGATGAGCACTACAAGCGAGTGTGGGAATGGTTTTGGTATCTGCAGAAATGGCAGAGATATGTCAAAAACTGGAATGCCATACATGGGCACTTAAGAACTTTAACTGGCACTTAACTCACTTCCTTTCTTTTTCTTTGGCATTGATGACTTGTTCTTGTGTGAGGGATGACTGCCAACATTTCTGGCTGTCCTTCTTCACATGAGGGCTATGGTCTTCATCTCCATTCACCAGCTGTATCTGTGTCCACCTCACCAAATACCTTTGGTGTGTGACACTGTCTGTGACTTTCTTGTGGATGGCAACAAGAAATGGGTTGCCTGCATGTGCTGCAACCTTTCCAAAGGAAAGTGTCAGTGGCCCAGGGATGGGAAGGACATCAAGGCTGGACCCAAGGCCAGTGGGAAGATTGACAAGGGCAAGAAGAGGAAGGTCAACAAGGAGAACCCCAAGGCCAGGCCCAGCAGGCAGAAGCAGGTGAAGACAAGTGCAAGGCTGATCAAGGTCTTGGACCTTGATGAACCCAAGGCTGGTAGGAGTGGATTGAGGGAGGCCAGTGCAGACTGGTACTTGTGCTTGGAAGACAAGATTGAGTGATTGATCAAGGCTGTGGGCCTGATTGCCAACAACCTGGCCAGCCTTTTCAAACTTCATGAGACTGCTGTTGAGAACTTGGGCCAAATTTCTGACACCCTTGAGTCAATACTTGATGAATCTTACAGCTTTGGGGTGGCAGTCACCCCTTCAGACTTGGGCTTGTCTGAACTTGACTTGGGTGAGTTGCATGAAGAAGCAGAGTGGCTGCAGGCTGATGTCACACACCAAAGGTGTTTGGTGAGGTGGTGTCGAGTTTGGGTTGTCCGGGTTGAAGCTGGACTGGAGACTGAAGCAGGCACGAGGCTGAGGGGTTGGGATCAGGAGGAGGGTCAAAGATACAGGGGGGTGGACTGATTGGACTTAGTGACTGAGGCTACAGTGCTATTCCCTTGCATGGGTCTCAGTCCAAGTCTGAGGCCAAGACAGGATTATCAGAGTAACTTTGTTGATTTCAGACTGAAGAGTACAGGCCAAGTATCTACAAGTTTATATACTAGAGACAACTATAGTATGGAGACCAGTAATGCCAGTCTTGCAAAGATTGCTAAGATGATTGGTAAGACAAGGATTAGTAATGTATGACTAATGTGATGGAGACCAGGACAGGGTGGACCAGGGACAGGACTGGGCAGGATTCAACCAAAGTGACAGGCACTGCAAAGCAGTGTTCACCACACTAGACTAACTGGAGATATGGGATTGGCAAGGCCAAGGCTGGACTGAATGAATACAAGGCTGAGTCTGGCTGGGGTTGAGACATGGCTATGACAGGTGGACATGGATACAGCTGATGAATGGAGATGAAGACCATAGCCCTCATGCAAAGAAGGACAGCCAGAAATGTTGGCAGTCATCTCTTGCACAAGAACAAGTTGTCAATGCCAAAGAAAAAGGAAGGAAGTGAGTTAAGTGCCAGTTAAAGTTCTTAAGTGCCCATGTACAGCATTCTGGTTTTTGACATATCTCTTCCATTTCTGCAGATACCAAAACCATTCCCACACTCAGCTTGTAGTGCTCATCCATGTGATCCTACCTTCCAAAAGTGGAGAGGATTTGTGCACTCCACACATTTCTACAGCACTCCCTCCAAAAGATGCCTCATTTCACTAATTCTTCTGATATGGCCACCTCCACATCAATCATTTCACTTGTCCCCTTTGCTAGGGACCATGGCTATGTATATCTACCAGGAGTTCCTACTAGCTTCTGTCCTGAAGCATCCTGGTACATCCCATCCTTGTCTGCCCCCTCCCAGCCCATCCAGCTTGGACAGTATGTTCTTTTTGTCAGTATGACCTCTAGGAGGACATTCTTTGGTCACCTCAGGTCTGTCACTCACTTAGAAAGGTCTTATGTGGTTGTTTCAGTCTCTCCAGTCCAAGAAGCATATGGATCCTTCCTCCCTGCTCCCTGCAACATCTTCATACCAGTCTCATCCATCATTCTTCCAAAATTGTGACAGCTACAGTATAATCTACTGTTGTCCACTCTCCCTGATCACATCCATGATGAGTATGATGCACATCTTGCCTCCTTATTGCAAGATACAGCAGAAGATGCTCCCCCTTCATCCTCTCTTCCAACAGAGCCTCATTCATGAAGTTTTTATTTGCTTCACTGAGAGGATGGTTAGGGGGGGAAAGTTGTGATCCCCTATGCTCCTGTCACCCCACAGACCCCCAAAGCTTGACCCCTGTTGACATCTGACTCACACTGTCTGCTTTTGGATGTACTATATTGGCATCAGATCAGCACTGCCTCTCTGTCATCCCACTTTGGCCTAGAAGTGATCTCTTTGAGATGTGACATGCACAGCCTCCCCCTAATGTGATTCCAGTGTGCTTTCCCAGTTCCTGACATTACTTGACTCATACTTTGACATTCTGACTGTCCTTGACTCACCTATTGCCAATACTTACCAATCTTTTTGACTTTGCTTACTGATTCTTTGCTTTTTGGCTTACTTATGCTTACCAATGCTCACCAATGCTTTCTAAGATGATTATCCATTGCTTACATTCCTTACTCATCACTTACCAATCACTTACGAAGTGTTTGCACCTTGTTTTCCATAGGCAATGCCCCAGTACTGTATATAAATCACTGTACTTAGATAGCTGAAAAAGGAAGAAGATGTCAGAGAGCCCCTCTTGCTCACAATTCATCATCTCTCAGTAATTCATTCAGCAGCTTCAATAGTTGAGACTTTATTAAGGGTCTAACAATCATCTACTTCACTTATCACCATTTATTATCAATATACTTCACTCCAAGTCCTCCCTGAGCTCAGTGCAGCTCAGAACATTGAATTAAGTCATCATCCATCCTTCTGTAGGCCATCAGCAAATGCACCCAAATCCAGCAGTGCCTGGCAAAGCCCAGCAGAACCTGGTGCAACTTGCATGCCCTTGCAAGCCCTCGCTAGGCCTAGGAAGATCTAGTAAGAGCAACCAAAATGGGTGGACGAGCTTGCTGAGTGCTGCTAGATTTCGAGGGTAGCTTACGAGGCCTAGCAAGGGACTGAAGGTAGCTTGTCAGATCTAGCTAGATGGCGAGGACAGTGTGCTAGGTATAGCTGGACAATGAGTACAGCTTGCCACTCTATGCTAGCTTTAAACTATGCTAAAGATCAGATTCAGTCTAGTCCATGTTCTCTGGGTTCTCCCCGTCCTCAAGTCCTCCCAATGCATCTTCGTCAACTGAACCACTGGCACTGTCTTCGTCCTCATCCTCAACAGTCTCTTCCAAGCCACCCTATCCATACTCGTCCATCTCATCAACCAGGGTATCAGGAATCAAGCGCCTGGTGTGCTCTTCATGCGTAGAACCTTCAGACGATGCAGAGTCATCTTCACTGTCATTCCCATCAGCTTCTTCAGCACCAATTGATTCATCCATCAGCTCGTCCATGTCAGAGTCTTCTGTATTTTGTATTATCTCGCCCTTCACATTCCAGAGTAAATGGTTTCTCTGTCAAGTTTGTCGCAGGTCATTGAGGAGGCAAGACATAGCTTCACGAAGTTGTCTTGTGCCCCACTGCACCGCCCTGGAAGCGCATGAACATATCACGGTCAACAAAACTTCAAGATCCCAGTTAGAAAGTAATGTACTAAGTAATTGTTAGAGACTTACATGTTAACATAATACCAATACCAATCTTCATTGTTCTCGGACTTGTGGCGAGCAATCAAGGGTGGCAAAAGACTGGTTGTGCGACCCCAGTGGAAGGCAGGTATGATGTGAACACCAGCATATGACATCATTTGGGTCAACAAATCCAAATGCATTGGTAAGATCATCATGGGGGTAATAACCGATGCAGGGAAGACGGCACGCAGTCCAGCCACTCTTGAAATGTCGGTCGCATGCAAACCATCGCACCCATAGCACATCAATGCATTTGAGTGAATGATCACTCAGTTCAGGTCCATCGTACCGAACCTCAACGTGGAAGATGCTGATGACACGGGCATACCAGTATGGGTGTGGGTTCTCATCGCTTTCATGAGAGAGGACCATGATGTGTGGATGCGTGCGCAGGTTGATGGAATCCTGTGTACAGTGGAGATTGTATGTTGTGTAGTTAACACACAGTACTTTGTGCTGATAAAGGCGGTTTTTGATGATTAGGAGCGCATTGCGTTGAGTTTGCATAAACACTCATTCCTCGTTGTCTGGTGTTTCACTGCCCAGCAAACGGGCTAAGATGTGGTCTTTCAAGTCACATAGGAAGTCCTAATATGTATGATATATGAATTTACCTGCCACGGAAGCACTGTGGGATGGCACTCACCTTTACAGCTAGGTCATTCTTGTTCATGGATAGGAACGCCAATGTCACAGTAATATTTTCTGCTCTGGGCAATTTGATAGTGAGCCTCTGGTGGACAGGCTGGAAGCAATTCATGTGCAGGCTCGTGCATCTTGTGTAAAAGCCTTTCACGTTGCTGGTGCTTGGCAATTCCGTGTGCAAAAGCTGATCTTGTTTGTTCTTGAATAAAACTGTTTGACACTGGCGATGCTCTAGTTCACCCTACCATTATTATAAGCACGATAACAAACAGAAATTGCATACGACCTACCACTTGTGTAGAGTAATTGTCTGTCGTTCCAAACAGCCGGATCAACATGACATAGTCACCTAGTGCATGCATCTTGTATGTTGCCATGTTGAATGAACATGGCTTGCGACCTGCACTTCCATCACTCGGCCTTGTGTTAGAGGATGTTTGTTTTTGTGGTACGCTTCGCAACTTTTGAACCTTGGCAGCATGCCTGTGCAGCTGTTTCACAGGGGAGATCATAGGTCTTGAATGCCATGCAGCACTCCTGCGAGAATTTCTGCATGGCAATCCCAAGGCAAGTCGTGCTGTTGTCAAAATGGAACAGTGTTGTCTCCATGTGCATATGCAGTTTTCTGAATGCGTGCCAAGTAGCTAGCTCAAACAAAAGATCGAGAACAATAGTGTTGTACAGCTCAGGGAGTAGCCCCTCAAAGACGGGGATGGCACACTGAAACATGCCTTATTAAAATCTGGTCAATAACAGTACATAAAAACGGAAGTCCTTGCCTGCAAAATGTCCTCGAAATCTTGTGCAGCAAGTCTTGAGAGATCTGACACATTCTTGCTAAACTTGCATATGGTATCCCTCCCAAAAGTCAGCATCAAACGAAAACTGCCAATTGTCAGTACTTCAGTATTTAAGTCAAAACAGCTATGTGCACGTACTGGGTGTTGAATTCCTGTATTTTGTTATCACCTGCCTCATAAAGGATTCGGATGAGATGTGTTAGTGTTGCCTTCCATCCTCCGAGCTCGAACTCATGCATGAAATCCGGTACAAGCATCCTGTAAAAATTAAACCCAAATCATGACAGCTTCTCGGAAAAGGCATTCTAAAAAAAGGAATACATCCATGAGCCTGCCATGCGGCACAATGTTGTCAGTGTGGTGCATACCCGAGTTGGAACCAGAGATAATGCGCCAAGAATCTTCTCGACTGCGGCACTAATAACACCACGACCAAAATTAAAGATTGCCCTGCATGCATTCTCAATAGAAATCCGCTGGCTCTCAGTGTTGACTCACTGTTTTCTATTGCGGATCTGACTATCTTTCTTTGATCCTAGTCGAAAAACATTCTCCTTCTCAACGAGACAACGTGGACACAGACACTTTCCCAGGAACTTCATACAAGCGAGTAAAACCCTAGAGATGCTGTAATTTGGGGCTTATGTATGAGTTATGTGATATGTGAATGTACTTTCTCGGGATAATTGACTGAATAAGTGAAAAAGTGTGGAAATACCCTGCGTGACACTCCATCAGGGAATTTAATTATCATACCATGTTCATATGCCTCGAGGAACTCTGCATCCAGCAGGAATGCCCAGATTGCTTGCATGAGTTCATGTTTGCAGTGAGTAAGTACCGCTGCTGTAGCACTAGTGCCATATGTGACCTGGTAAAAATCTTGGATTGTATCAGACAGCTGAGTGAATTATGTATTAGTGGCAATTACATTAAATTTTGATGTGTTACCTTTGGTATGTAGGCCAAGTGATGAGCAGCGAAGGAATTGGGTTTGGCACGTATATATTTTGACTGGTTCCCAAGGTAAAGGTATATTGGCCACAATGCGGCATTTCCAAAACTTGCAAGATGGGTTGAATCTGACCAGAGCATGATTGCAGCGATCACAGTCTCGAGATTACAATTGTGTGGCTGTGCCTTGACCTTCTCATGTTCTTGCAGCATGACATTGGCTGTGTAGACCTCCGTAAAGATCTGTTCAGGGATGGCATCATCATCTGGTTGCCAAAATAGCTTGTATGGGGTTGCGTTGTATTCCTTGGCAGCTGACTCCACAAATGCCGCCTTAATTACCTCCGTGAGCTTGCAATAATTGAGACCTTCAACCTGAAATTCAGGTGCATGGTCTTTGGGGACTTTGACTTTTTCACATGGCAGTCGAATCTTAATGGTAGCTGTGTGCCATGAGTCTGATGCAAAGAGTGTCGACTTGTCCAGTCGCCTTAATTCCCATTGAGCTGTGAAGTTATGCAGGTGTTTGCAATCAAAGTCATCTGCTAGGATTATGTCGTGCACAAGGTGATCAAGATCATCTAGAGATTTCTGAATAGAACCGCTGTAAAACCAGCCCATGAGGCGCCATACAGTCGCATTCAGGAACGGGGTGAAGTAATTGTTCCCGAGCTGCCGAAGTGGGTTACTAAACTGAGGAAACCAGCCTTCGTCCTCGCCACTGCCACGTTGCAAGGTAGGGCTGTCACATAGATGCTCGATGGGGGTCTGTCCCTCTGGATCATATGATGGGAGCCTGCTTTGAAATTCATGGAACAAGCCATATGCATTGCGTTCTGTGCATGTGGCCCCATGGTATAAAGGTGTGTCTAGGGAAGACAGCTGATGACCCTCAATCTCCATAGGATCATTCGGTGTGTATTCGCAGGTAGGAGACTCCAGTTCCCTGCCATCCTGCTCATCATGGATATGGAGGACAGGTACAGGTGCTGGAACAGCTGGCAATTCATCTCGGTAACATTTGGGTAGATGGCGGGTGCGTTTTGGCAGGCCTGAGGGTCGATGTTCGACATTTTCTGCCATGTCTGGCCTGTCAAACTGGAGTCATATCAGTGAGTATTCAGTTAACTTCTTGCAGGATACCGTCTCACCCCCAAACTGCTAAACTCTGCCAGCCGTTGGGCATGCAGGGCCTCTTCCTCCTGCATTTCTCGCTCGTGCCTGGCTGCTTCCTCCTGTCGCAGGCGATCATCTGTCTCATGTTCCACGAGATACTCCTGATACTGCTGCAGCAAGACTTCATCAGCCATCTGCTTTTTTGTGCACCAGCGTGCTTCATGTATCACAAGTCCATGCTCACTTCGGGTGACCTTCCCACAGGATGGACAGGTAACCGGCATGGTTTGTTGCTCACTGGATGGTATGTAGCTTCTTGCTAGGACGCTGTTGAATTATGTACTAATATTATTTGCACTTTTTTGATCAGATTTGCCCGGGCTTTATAAGAGGCCAGAATTGTTTTCAGCATCACACTTCTGTCTTCACTCACTATGTCCTCTCACGCCCCTGTCGTTGACCCTTTACTTATGGCTAACCAGCCACAGACTCCAAGCTCTGAGCCAAAACCCCCGAAAAGCTTCAATCTGCTGCCAGCCCAGTCAGCAATGTGCGAACTGGCAGGACACAAACTTGCTTGCCTCGTCAACCCGTTTATACTGCCTCGAACTGCCCTCAAGGTTGGAGTTATGTATCGGATGGGTCGTGACGCAGACATTGGCATGTGAGATCTGCGCATAGAGTCTGTAAACACGTTGTCTTACTAACAATCTCGACTTGCTAGGGACGTTGAAGAGATTCCCCGCTATCTGGAATTCTTTGATGCCATCCTCATCCATGTTCCATGGTTAGAACAAGAACTCTTCAAGATCGACTCTAGGGAACTCACTGCAGTCACTAATAAGGTTAGTTATATGCGCATATAGTCGACATCCTGTCATGACCAAACATGACTACACTGTGTGACGTCCTAACATTTATTTGCAGTTGACAAGTGGTATGAGTGAGCAACGCTCAATGGACCTCAGTTCGGTGAAGCACGCAGGCTTAGCTTACATCCCACTGGACATGAAGAAACTGTTTGCGCTTGACCCCCCGCTGCCAAAAACCGAAGACAAGTCCAAGCGAGGGTTCTTCCATCCAGGTCTTGCCAAGTTGCTGTGTCCCCAGAAAAAGCGTCAGACCTTTGACGAGGATCCAGAGTTGTAAGTTTGCCATTCATTCTGCAATGTCCTGAAATCTACTGATAAAACTGCAGTATGATGGCTGCAATACAAGACGGTTCAATCAGGGTCACTGAATACATGTGGCCATCATATTTCTATGAGGACGGTGTCTATGACCCAGAGGACAGGTCCAAGGGTCTGTTCCATGGTCACATTGCTTGGCGTGTAAGTGTTGTACCCTGTTATGCATGCCAACATTTATGTCCACAGTTCTATGTCCACCTCTTCATTGGGCCGTCTGCAGCGACAAATGGAACTGTGAAGAGCATGGCTGCAAAGAAATCAAAGAACCGCGCATAGAGTCTCAATACTGTCACTCCTAACATTATCGCATATGTACATATCATGGTAAGTGGGTCTCATCATGAATGTTCGAGCTGACATCCTGATACTATAATCTAGTCTTACATTACACTGAGTTCTGCGCCCAAATGGATGCACGAAGTAGGCGAGGTAAACCTAGAAAGTATGGCAACTTTAATTCTGGAAATATTCAACGACCGTGATGATTGGACACATGAAACACTTGAGTGGTGGAACTTGTATGTGTCGTCACAGTTATGTCAACATGACTGACAATGATTATCAGGCATGCTTTCCCAAAGGTTCAGAAGGGAGGAGTGTCAAATGGAGTACGACGCCATTATGAAGATGACTCTGATGATGACATTGCCCAAATTCGTGCGAAGCGTGCCGCATCTACGACAAAGCACCAAATCTCAGTGAGCCCAGCTGTAATCCTCGCTGCTGATAGGTATTCTTCGTCTCTGTTACTAGTGGTTCCATTAAATTTTTTATAGGACTATGTCTACAATTGAGAGAGATGTATCTCCACTCATGAGCAATGGCAACGTGGAGCTGGAAGATATCAGGGCCGCATTACCGTCACCCAAGAAGCCTTCGTCTGCTGCTGCCAAAAAGAGGGCCCCCAAGCGCAGAAAGGTGGTAAATCAGGAGGAGTCGATTTTCGCTGACACCGTAAATTCCCTTGACCCTGAGGATCAGGACCTCCATTTGTCTCGTAAGAACCCACCCCATGCCCCACACCTCCAGAAGAAGTCCAACGGTTTTTAGTGGCAAGCACTTGCCCATTCGAAGTCTCCCTCCTTGTACGCATGCTGTCTATTCTCAGTTCATGTCCTTGTACGCATTACATTGTCACCCCGGATGCTTTCCAACTGGTATGCACACTGTTCACTCATGTTCTTGTACGCACTGCATTGTCTCCCAACGCATGCTTTCGTGATAGCACTGTAATATTAGTTTTGCTAACAAAATGTGGAATGTGAGTTCCTATTATGAACGGTGCGAGCCTAGTAAGCCCAAGAGGCCTAGCAAGCCCTGGCAAGGCATATGCGGCCCAGCTAGGTCGTGGTATTGTGGGCAAGGCATACAAGGGCTAGCAAGGCCAAGCAATGCACACTGAACCTGGCGAGGCCTCGTAGATTATGCTACGCTGGCAGTATCTAGCTAGTTGGAGTGTTTTTGTCATAGTTACTGATAGGCCTCGTAGCATCTACTAGGCGTAGCACCCACTACTAAGGCCTTTTAATGCCTAGCTAGGTCTAGCAGTGCCTCACTAGATTTGGACACTTTTGCTGATGGCTGACAGCATTCTACCCCATTGCACTCTCTCACATTCTTGCTCCCTCTTCATCAGGAGCACCCCCAACCCTTGTAGAAGGATCTGTAGGCTACCTCAGTAGTGAACAAACTACTGAGTGTATTAATGTACCTGTAGGCTACTACAGGATGTCAGTATAGTAGAATACTTGTAATATAAACAGACTTACCCTCAGTAGTGAACAAACTACTGAGGGAATACTAGTAGAGAATACTACAAGTATGTGCACCTTTTTGTACTTATGTAAGCACACTAGCATCGCACCTAAGTACCAATAAACAGTGGCACTTTATGTTCCAACAACCCTCAGCACTCATCTTTGAGTGTTGTAGCTCAAAAAATCCCACCCAAATAGAAGGTTCCACCATCTAGGTACTGCATAGGTACACCACTACTTGCTCTTATGGTCTTTTGTGTTGGTTTTGGTTGGTTTCCACCACTGAACCACACTTTGACTCACAACAGCCTTGGCCTGGATGCAATGGGTACAACTACATAAAGAAAAAGGATATTAGAGGAACAATGCACCAGGTCATTGGAGGTACTCACCCAGGGTCCATGACCACCTTTTTCACCTTGCCAGCCTCACTTCCACCAGCCCCAGCCCCAGCTTCATCACCCTTTCCAGCCTTGGCCTTGCACTTCTCCTCCTCCTCACACACCCTCTCCTCTTCAGCCTCATGTGCTGCCCTCTCAGCCTCAATCCACTCCCTCTCCACTCTCTTGGCCTCCAGCTGCACCTGCTCTTCCCACCAGGCTTGTTCAGCTGCCTTTTGCTGCTTCCTCTCTTTTGCCTTGGCCCACATTGTCTCCTCTTTGTCATCAGTATCATACTTGATGGCATCATCCAGCACCTGGGCCCAGTCAATAGGGACCCAGCCTTTGTTGCTGTCAGTCATGATGGGCAGCCTCAAGTCAGACATGATGAGATAGAATGCAGAAGAAAGATGCAAAGGGCTTAGTGGGCCACAAGTACCAGTTTTTCAAACTCACCCTACCACTCTCAGACTCAGCCTCACACTCATCCAGTCCAGCCTTGGCCTCACCAATCCCTTACCCCAGTAGGTCTAGTGCATGTAATTTTGGTTGAGCCTGACCTGGTTGTCCCTGGTTCACTCTCTGTCCTAGTCTCTGGTCAACTTAGTCATACCTTACTAATACTGCTCTTACCAATCATCTTAGCAATCTTTGTGAGACTGGCATTACTGGTCTCTGTAATATAGTTACTTCTAGTATATAAGCTCATAGATACTCAGCCTGTACTCCCTCAGTCTGAAATCAAATAACTCCTTATCTGAAATCTTCTCCTCAGCCTCAGACTCAGATTGAAACCCACACAAGGGAATAGTGCTGTGCCTTCAGTTGCTAAGTCCAACCAGTCCTACCCTTTGTACCTCTGTGCCCCATCTGATCCCGATCCTTCAGCCTTGCACCCATTTTGGTCTCCAGTTCAGTCCCCAACCTGGACTTCACAGACTTGACACATAGTACTATAAACAGATTGCTGGTGGGTGACAGGTGGGTGATGAACAGGCAACCAGTGGACAATTCATATAAACCATACATTGTACTTTACAATTCAATCAATATTTCATCCTCATCCCAAACTTCAAAATTTGGCAGAGTATTTATTGTTTGTGCATATTTGGAATCTTGGTCTGAACACAGTCCATTCTTGATGTTTTGTTGAAGTTGCAATGTGAAGATGTGTCAAGTTCGGGATGTCCGGGTTGAGGCCGGACCTGGAGACCGAGGTGGGTGCGAGGCCGAGGGGTTAGGGATCAAGGGGGGAGACGAGGATACAGATGTTTTGGACTGTTTGGACTTAGCGACTGGGACTACAGCACTATTCCCTTGCATGGGTCTCAGTCCGAGTCTGAGGCCAAGACAGGGTTATCAGAGTTAACTTAGTTGATTTCAGACTGAGGGGTACAGGCTGAGTATCTATGAGTTTATATACTAGAGTAACTATAGTACAGAGACCAGTAATGCTGGTCTCGCAAGGATTGCTAAGATGCTTGGTAAGACAGGTATTAGTAATATATGACTAAGACAATGGAGACCAGGACAGATGGACTGGGGACAGGACTGGGCAGGACTTAACTGAAAAGACACGCACTGCAAGGCAGTGCTTACCATGCTAGGACATCTGGGGACAAGGGTTTGGCAAGGCCAAAGCTGGACTAAGTGAGTGCGAGGCTGAGTCCAGCCGGGGTCGAGGCATGGCTATGACAAGATGAAATTGGAAGTTTGCACACACATTCAAACCACTACCAAACTTGAAGCTAAAATTGACATTCTGATGCTGTTGATACATGTGCATAAACTTGAAGTATTGGTAAACATTGAGGCATTCATGAAAACTTCAAGTTTCACCTTCAAAAAATTGTTGAATTAATTTTCAAGTGCAATCTTTACATTTTCTACTACATTAAGACCTGTCCTTAACTCTCCAAAATCCATTGTGTCATGCACATACATACACTAATAAGACAGCCCATCATCTGAGTCCACATATTATTGGTCAGTTCAGGATGAGTTCAATCCAGCAGCTTGTTTGACTTTGAATCTTCGAACCACACCAAACTGGTCAGATTTCGAACCAAAGCGAGTCCCACCTCGAAGTCACTTCACTTGGACAGCAACACTAGTGGGCACTGTAGCCCCTTGCAAAATTTTCTCTTCAGCTTACATCCATCCTATGAGCGAGAATGCAGCGTTACCGGATTAGTGTGTGCAGTAGTAAATGATACAATAACTTTCACCTGATACTCCCACTTATATAATCTAATTAGACACAACATTGCTGTTTTGATGTCGGTCTAAGACAAGGCATTTGAGGTGTCTTCCCCCTCAATGAATAATTATTGAATACCATAGAGTACTTAAAAAGATTAAGAGCCACTAATCTACCTGAGCCACACCAGGTGCACTGGGATTTGTCATCAGCGCCCTGCCGATGCTTCCCACGCACGTGACGCATCATCCCTGACACCTCTCGTCACTGTTGTCGACAGCAAGCTCGTATATCTCAACAACTACACAATGCGCAAACATCGGACTTTCATGGCCATATAGTACTCATGTTTAGCTAGTGTTCTGTAACATATTATTAATTACCACTGGATACTAAGTACTAAGCTACCAGAGTGGTGCTGCATCGCACTGGGCTTTGTCATCAACACCCACCCGTACTTCCCACACACGTGATGTGTCATCCCCGACACTTCTCATCGCCGTTGTCGACAGCGAGCTCGCATATCTCAACAACTACACAATGCACAAACATCGGAATTTCACAAACATGTAGTATTCATACGCAGCTAGTGCCCTGTCACATGAAATCCCATATTCTCGCCAAAGTCAACTGATGCAAGGACATTTAAGTAATTTATCTACTTATGTGTCCGTAGTAACACTTAGGATATGCTGCAATGCCTCGCATTGCTCCTCCAAATCATCCCCATGATCATCGTCAAGGTCTTCATCGGCCTCCTCTTCGCCATCATCTGTACAAATAGGTGGGGATGACAATACGGACTGTATAGGGACCCGCTGTGGGACATGTGCACTATCCCCTGGGCCACGTGATACACTAATGCCAGGGGTTAGGGTACCCCTGAATCTGGGGAGATGGGATATTTTTTCGAGGGTATGGAGGTGCAATGGGGTGAATCGGGAGCGGATGGCACAGTACCTAGAAATTTGGTATGCAAGTGCAGGGTTGGTATCCTGGTAGAGGGCTTCACAAGCCCGGAGGTAGCGGTCTTCGTCAATAAGATATGTAACAACACGACGAATCTCCACATTCAGGTGAACCACTTCTTCCTCAGCCTGGCATAACTTGAAATACATGTTTATGGCAAGGTGGGCAGTGGGTGACGCCCACGGGCGGGTCGATATGTCCTTCCGCATATCTCTGAGAAGGTCAAAGTCAGCTAGGAATGCGTACTCAACAACCTCCTCAAATTCCAGTGTTTGATGGCCGAGGACTTTGGCTGCAGCATTATATTGGGAGAGGGCAGCCCGGATGGCAGCTGAGCATGTTTGCAAGGCCTTGCCAATGTGCTTACGAAGTTTATAGCCTGCAATCATCAGTGCGATACAAATTTGACTAGGGTGGACTTACCAGTGCCAGACTGGTTCATCTTTGACAGCTCGAAGATCCTTGACACAACCAATCACTCAACGTTATCCAATGCCCATTGATATTTTCGATTGGTGACCAGGCAGGCTGCCGCCTGCCATTCCTCGTCCTCCGGTACCCAGCGGCATGTTATCTCGAGGCGTCCCTCGAGCTCCTGTACAGCCTTCAAGTCCTTTTCATAGTTCTCTTGGGCATGGTGGTGCATGGTCTCCACTTTCCTTGTCACACTGCTATCACTCCAAGGGGACGCTGCATCGTTAGCCATAATGACAGTCCATGTAGATAGGATTGACTCGAGGTGTTTGCTAAATTTACTGATAGTCAGAACGCTAACCTCTCTACGTAATAGTGCCTACCTGCTCCCAGCTAGATTTACAAGCCATTGCCAATATTCCATCTGCAGCGTTTCTTCCACAGGCTCGCGCAGGAGGGACCTGAGATATTCACGTTCTTCATCCAACCAAAGCTTAAAGGTGTCAGGGTCGCTTACTCCTAGCTCGTGCATCAGCCGTTCGAGGGTCAAGCAGCCATTAGAAAGAAGATCGAGGGCTTGTTTGTAGTTATTCAGTAAGAACTTTGCTGCTTAGGATTAGATACGTCGAGATGGGTAAGGTTAATTACTTACTGAGATTTGCGTACACTTCCAGTTTGTCATTGTGTTCAATATAGCACACAATTGCCTGCCTTCTGTGAAAAATTGACATGTATCGAGTAGATGGCACAAGGGCATTGCTCTTTGAAAAAGCCCTCTCACAACCTTCGAGATCTTCGAGTCTGAGACCTTCGACGTAGGTTGTGAGGTTGTCTAACTGACATAGCCTGTTATGAGCGTGGCCATGGAATGCATTAACAAGAGACGTATAGTTGAGTGATCATGCACACTTGCCCAGGACGCTAGATGCCAGAGTGGTCTTGAATCGACAGCCGATGTCATATCCACCGCCCAGATCTGAACCAAAACACGTCGAGGAGTTTGGACGTCACCGCGAGCGCATACTTAGACCTGTGTATGAGTGAGTTTGTGAGTAGGGCTTTCTAAGTAGTCTACATACTGTTCGCCACTTTGTACCATATCTGCGATAAGCAGGCAGAAGCCATGCCGACAGACTGCTATGAAGACTCCTGTTTCGTCAAATACGCTCCACATTTTTTGTGTAGCACTGTCCTTCATGTTTTTCCAGCACTCCGCACAAAGGTTCCCATCACCATCCTATCATGCAGAAAGAAGTCTAGAAAATAAATGTGAACAGAACAACTTCTCACCTCCGCAACGATGCTGTGACCTGTCTGCTGTCCGGATGCAAATTTCTCGACAAAATCACGGGTCAGATATTGTTCATGATGAAACGCACCCTCCAGCATAGGATGAGAAGGGGTAAGAGGGGAAGCATCATCGAGGTTGCCGTCCAGTACCCTGGTTGCCACTCTCTTGAGAGAGTCATTCCCATCCTGAGCAAATAGCATCTTGAATCGCATTGTCGGTTCGTCCTGCAATTTGTAAGTACAAGAAGGACAGCCGTGCTTGAGCCACCAGTCAGGTTGATCGCGCTGCAGTGCCTGGTGCACAAGGTTCGAGACGAGTGCTAAAATTTGCAAGTAAATGTCGAGCGCGATGGAAAATTGACATGAGCGGTGATTGTGAAATGGGACCTGGATGGTCAAGGGTTAGCGTTCAGGTACCTCGGAATATATATTAATTGCAAACCCCGTGTATATTGCAGAGCAATTTGATGTATCCCTGGATGGAAAGATGGGGGCAACGTTGACGAACAGTGTGGTACAGGTCAAGAGCTTGCACTGTAATGGCGACCTTGGGGGTAATGGGAGAGCACAGGATTAGACCATGGCACACGAGAGCTGAAGTTAGGTAATGATCAGTAGGCCCTACAGTTATAGAAGTCTTCTCAGCGCCTACTATGCCGTGAGTATCCGCATGTGTACTACAGTCAGATTGACTTACAGAAGATGTCTAACACCAGTACACTGAGTAGCCTGGTGTCTACGCCGTCGCTCCTCTGCTGTTCTTCCCGTGTATGTCGCTCATCCGAATCAAAAAATCCCCGTCCACTCGCACCCTTCCAGATCAAGGACCAGGCCATGTAAGCTTCCACCATCGCACCCATTTGCACATTGAATGCAGCCGTCCGTTTAGCAGTACGATCCCGGAACATACGATAATCCAGGCATTTCCCCCCAATCTTCTGAGAAGCGCTGAACACAGTCAGCTATTATTACTTGGTCCCTGTTAATTCTAACCTTTTCCAGAATTCCCCCAATAACCCGCTGGTGAGTTCTTGAAACTCACCACCAGCATGACTGACATCAAGTGGCTCCGTTCCATCCAGGACCATTGCGCCATACTCGTCGCTTTCATATCCATCGTCTGCGGCCTCACCAACTGAGTTGTTCAATGCTGGATCTCGCAGCGCCTCAAGTGCATGCTTCTCGGTCACAGTCATCTCTATCGAAAGTGAGCCTTTTTTGTTAACCATAACAAAAACGTACCTCTTAGTCGCTCTTGTTTGTGTTCTGCTGCATGTGCAGCCCGTTCAGCGATTTTTCTTGGACCTGCCAATTCATGGAGAGTTCGCGTAACTCCTGCAGATTGGTGAACTTTGGTCTGGACCCGACGTATTTGCGAGGATGTCAAGCTTCTGCATCTGTGGGAGTGACGACGTGCTGCTCCCCCTGCCATGACTGGCTTCCGTGCTTCATGCCATTGAGTGGGACCTATCCTCACCAAGACCACATGACGTTACCACGCTGTCAAGACTTATTGCAAACTTATCTGCCATCGCTAGCATTCGCACTCCTGTCCTTGAGTATTGTCCTTAGCACTGACCCACAAGCTTGTCTTACCATGGTGTCGAGCGTCGAAGGTAGGACACAAGACTTATTTTTTTTTATCTAGGATTTTACATCTTGTTAGATGATGGTAGCTGGCAGATAGCACAATCTACAGAGCGAGATACAGAGGAGATGATCATGCGTATCACAACGACCAAGACTACTCATGAAGGGACTACAGAAACCAAGGTCAAAACCGTGGTGAAATGTAGTCATGTTACCAGGACCACTCTTAGGAGTCCTCGAAAATGTAGTCCATCAGCGACAATTACTGGCTCTACCACTACCCCACCATCAGCCTCAAGCACCCCGCAATCCACTCCCAAGTCACAATCTGGTTCAGCCTTCCCCCCTTCAGTACCTCATGTGTCCACGTCTCACAGCAGTGTCATTCCCCACCCATCGGATGTCCCGCAGCCAACTTCCCCACCTGAAGGGTTTTACCTCATTATCGTTGGGCAAGAGGTTGGCATATTTTATACATGGTATTATTTGTTTTGTCTATCCTCTGTTCAGCTCAATCTCGAACCCATAGGAAAGATGCCGCATTGCGGGTTCTCGACATCAGTGGCGCAGTTCACTACAAGTGTAAGACCTTCCAGTGAGCCCTTGTGGATTACTACAGCCGCATATAACAACAGCGAACTGCACGCGATCCCGATCCCTGGTGGGCCCTTCCACTGCAAGCATTTCACACTTTTTGATGACTAAACATGGTGAAAAAATTGAAGGAGGAGATACTGTTTCATTTCCAGTGTTTTCACAGAAAAAATCCAAAAGTAATGTTGTATTTTGTTTGCATAACCTACCTATAAACATTAATTGTTGGTAATGACCATTAGGTTCAACTCTAGTGGGTATTACCATTAATTCATGTTTGCCAGTAGAGAAGACAAAGAAAATCCAATATTATTTTTTGATTTTGTTTGTGAAAACATCCAAAATAACATGGTATCTTTTCCTTCAATTTTTTCAGCATGTTCTCTGATGAAAAATTGTGAAATGCTTGCAGTGTTCTGGCCCATGGCACCATGTACACCCTCGCCCGCTCTCAGTGAAGGTGAACAATCCTACTGGGCTGAAGTGGACGACCTGTCAGATCTGTTTGGCTCAGTTCAAGTCGGCTGCACTAAGACCTGGTGGGTTTCTTGCCCTTCCAAAAGGTCGTTTTATTAATTGTAACAGCGATGCTACCCCGTCTTCATCGACTGCGAATACTTAGTAGTTACTACCGAAATCATGTCCTTTACTACTATCAATGACCGCAACATCTTGAATTGAAGTCTTAGGTGATCATATATGTGAATGAGCATACTGTAGTCTACACTGTGACCCGAAATTGGTGCGCACGCGACATTGGTGATTGTACACAGTGTAATGTGTGAACGAGTGTATTGTAGTCTACACATTGTGACCCAACATTTGTGTCCATGCGACATTGAGGAATTCGATAAGGTAAATCAGTGCTATGCAATTTCCACAATATATCATGTAATGTCCAGGTATCGGACAATGACCGCTAGATAGTATATGAGCTAACGACGGCAAAGGCGTCACGCGTACACCGATAGGGTATGTTTTCGAAGATACCAGTAGTGAATACTCTCTGATAGCGAATGGATTCACTATCATGTTCGCTATCACCACAACCCAATACATGTCTCCTGTAATTTGAATCACTAATTTTACAAATCAGATTTCAAGCGCGGGAATGTTTAGACATGAATTGTATGCAAAAGTACTACATAGAGAGGTAATAGCGAGACCCCAGACAAGGGGGGAGTTGAGGGAGCTGACACTTCAGATATCGGGCGAGGAATATATAGACGTAGTTTGTATGACGAACAGGCTAGACAGTAAAGTAGTAACGAGCTTCGGAGATTTGAGACAAGGGGGATATAGGTGCATAGTCATCTAATTTGACTTCGAAAAAGCGTAGTTCAGTCAATAAAGATGTGAGCAAGTCAAACACTTGTTCGTACAAGTCTGCAGCTCTGTACCCCATACCCCTGAAACCTTTGCATGCAATATTCCTCAAAATCCAAACAAGCCGTCTCCCTTCTTCAACGTGGGCCTCACATTGTGAAAAGAATGAGTCAGTTGCAAGTTGGCCCCTGCCCTGTGCATGCCTAAGTTGATCATGGAACTTCTTTGGCCATGTTGACTCCGTGGCCCATTCAGATTGCCAGTTGGCGATGAGTTGCCTGACCTTCTCGAGTGGAGGGAGTTCCGAAAGTGCCGAAGGGTGTAGGTACGAGTTGGGCTCTGGGTCTGGGGACGCTCCAACTGTGCTGGTCGGTGTTGGGTTGCAGGTGGTATCTTTGCTCTCTGTGACAAGCTTCCTAATAACAGAGTTAATATGTCGAGATATTTGGAGAAGGTGCTTACTTGGTCCTGTTCCTACGAGTGTAGATCGATCACCATTGATAGACAGGATCAATCATACCGGCCGACCTACCTGGCAGCACAAAGTCTTGCTTTCTCCCTCTGCTCTTCTTGCACTCTGAAAACATGAGTTATATACAGTATAAAGGGAGGTAATAAAAATATTCCATACCCCGGCTTTGATAGCCAGCGCTCAGTGGCTGCCCATTGCTCATCTTGCTTCCTCGCAGTGTGTGTGGCTCCCATGTACGAACATGAAGACGCTAGCTATGGGAAAGGGATGTTGGATTTAGTTTACACAGATACTAAGGGTAATATACAAAACTTACCTGGTGCGACTTGGGAGGAAGCAGATTACAGAGATACTTAGGCTTGACGCATGACGTTTGGACTCAAGAAATTTCTCCTGGTCACATGACCATTGTCATGTGTCTCGGGGTCTGTCATCTCTGACTGTTGGCCTAAGTCACTGTAGAAGGATCCAGGTACTGAAATCTTTTCTAGCATAGCTGAATTAATAGTCTTTTTATCCAGAGTTCTATTGTATGGACTTCCACGTGATCGTCCAAACCCGTCTATCCAAATTTCCCCGAGCTCTGCAGTAATTGCGTTCGTTGTATCATACAGAAAACAAAATGCTGATTAGATGGTTCCCGTCAATGCAGATATTACGATGTGATGGCGGCCATACTAGTGCCCACTCAACTTTGGCAAGTTGACAGCAGGGTATCAGCTTCATCCACGGTAAGTGTTATCAATAGCCCATTACTCACATCGCCTCTAGTATACTATTGTATCATGCTGATGCCCCCACAGGTCCACATGGTCTTATATCAAGTTGTATATATCGTACCTGATCGTTCTAATGACAGAGTACACCAATGTCATCCGCTCAATATCACGCTGTCAAATTTTTATTTTATTTTCCAGGATTTGGAGATGTGCAGCAATACTATAGACTTTGCACCTCGATGCTCTACCTACAGCATGGACCAATATGTTTTCACCTTTCCTCCCACCACCTTTGGCCCCACAGGAGGTGATTCCGCATGTCTGACTCCAGGGTTCAACTTGTATAATTTCCGGAATCTGTCCGATGTGCCGTTCCCTCCCAACGCTGCACAATCGCCTCCACAGCCTTTGGAATTGCACAACCCATCCTATGGTTATCCTGCACTGGACCCCACTCTCTTAGCCATTTCCGTCCCTCGGCTCGAGTCATCTCTGACTTCGAGACCCGCCCTACCTTCATCTACTGCTCAAGTAATGGCGTCCGCACATGTCCCAATTTCTTGCACCGCAGTAGACCATCATCCGGACACCACGCCTGCCAAGACTGCCCATTCAAATGCTACCTTTGTCCCCAGCGTGACCACCTCTAGTACACATCCCAATAACGGCACACCCAACGTTTGCAATGGCAGAGTCTCGGTGGTTAAAGTGGCAGGCAACAAGTCCACTTGGGCTACCCGAAACCCTGGACGGCCAGTCATGCAGCCTCATCAGCCACTCTCCGCTGTGGAGAAAGATCATCGCAGCGCGCATGCAGCATCAAGGCAAATTTCTGCAGCACAACGGAGGGATCGTGACACACTTCTGAACGATGCCATCCAGTCCCTAGCCAATGAGTTTGAAATGAAGGTACAGGCCATTGCAACTACACATAACGTTACAAGTGAGAAGGTCAAGAAGCTCCTGGGCAGTCACAAATATTATCAGAACCCGTGCAGCACGCAACTGGCCAATGCCATTATTCACGACAAGGCAAACGAGGTTAATGAAGGTAATTTCCCACTCTGATGCTGTTATATTCCAGCTCTAACTCATGCATCACAGGTCGCGCTCGTGGGGAGAAGCTCTCCCTCCAACAGATTCGGGAGTTGGCAAGGGCGGACCCCAAATACCAGGACATGACTCAAGATGAAAAAGATGAATTGTTACGTGCCCTCACGGAATATCGCACTCTCAAGAACGTGAGTGTTCGTGCTACAAATTCTGCAGCGGCGTGCGATGCACAGTCAACCTTGGAGCATGTTTTTAAAATAGTGAGTTCTGCATTCTATTCTAATGATCATCAACTGAATTCCTATAGCTTGATGGACTTGCCCTTCGCACTGGAATATACGCATGTCTCTTTGCCACTTGTGGACATGTCTACAACTCATCGCAGCCTTTCTGGTATGGAACCGATAATGTCATGGACTTTTGGGAGGATGTTATGGACCTCGAACCCAACGAAATCGTTCGTAAACTGGAACAGTGGGCATGCATGCATGGAAAAAGTAGGTCGAGAGTGGCGTTAAATAGCTATTAAGTATTGAATTACGTTGTTCATACAGACATCGAGGAGCGCAACTCCGTAGAAGGCATGCAGCGAATGTGTGCCCGCATTCTTAATTCTGGTCTCCATGAGTATTCGTTCTACCTTCTAACAGCTCCTGACATGCAAGTATACACAGGTGTTGTTGCCAAGAAAAAAATGCGAATCAACTTTGTCAATTTTGAGGTGGCCATCAAGGAGAAATATGGCATCGAGCTACTTGGGCGGCCGGAGAGTGTTCCATTCCAGTCTCCTCACACCACTACAAATGCTGAACACCTCTGTACCCTTCGTGACATGCTTAAAGCAGGTACATGTCATTGGGTGTACATGTCTATGCAACAACGTATGCAACATGCGGATCGACTTAAGGAACGACAAATTGCTGGGGAAGCAGTTGGAAAACCTCGCAAGAAGTCCTCCGATGCGGGCAGGAAACGCCGCCGCACAGCACCAGGCAAGGGGAAAGCTCCAAAAAGTGTCGCATTGATCGACTCGTCTTTGGAGGACAACAGCTCCACAGAAGATGATGAGTAATGAGATGTAAGTTTTTATCCACCCTACTTTAATACTTCGTCACGCATGCATCTTAACACAGGACTTTCTGGTCACTGTCGATGTAACGCACTTATATATCTTCCGAAAGTTATGCACAGTCACGCACCGTAGATCAATTCATTCATGCATCCGCCGCCCTTCTATATACACTGTACGTCTGCGTGAAAATCCGATGTCTTTACAATATACAACAGTCGTGATACACGTACTTGGTGAGGAGACTATGTCCAACGGTGTTTGCCAAACACATGACAACTGGTGTGTCACCCAGTGCGATGCGGCTCTGGTAGCTTGATGCTTAGTACGTAGTATCCAGCAATAATCAATAATATGTTACAGAGCACTAGCTAGCCATGGGTACTATATGGCCGTGAAAGTCTGATGTTTGTGCGTTGTCTTGTTGTTGAGATATGTGAGCTCGCTGTCGACAACGGCGACGAGAGGGCACGTGCGTGGGAAGTACAGGTGGGCGTTGATGACAAATCCCAGTGCGACGCGGCACGGCTCTGGTAGCTTAGTACAGCGATAATCAATAATATGTTACAGAGCACTAGCTAGACATGGGTACTATACGGCCGTGAAAGTCCGACGTTTGTGCGTTGTGTAGTTGTTGAGATATGCGAGCTCGCTGTCGACAACGGCGACGAGAGGTGTCGGGGATGACACGTCACGTGCGTGGGAAGTACGGGTGGGCGTTGATGACAAAGCCCAGTGCGACGCGGCACCACTCTGGTAGCTTAGTACTTAGTATCCAGTGGTAATTAATAATATGTTACAGAACACTAGCTAAACATGAGTACTATACGGCCGTGAAAGTCCGATGTTTGCGCGTTGTGTAGTTGTTGAGATATGCGAGTTCGCTGTCGGCAACGGCGACGAGAGGTGTCAGGGATGATGCGTCACGTGCGTGGGAAGTACGGGTGGTGTGTTGATGACAAATCCTAGTGCAACGCGGCACAGCTCTGGTAGCTTAGTACATAGTATCTAGTGGTAATTAATAATATGTTACAGAATGCTAGCTAGACATGAGTACTATACGGCCGTGAAAGTCCGATGCTTGTACGTTGTGTAGTTGTTGAGATATGCGAGCTCGCTGTCGACAATGGCGACGAGAGGTGTCGGGGATGACGCGTCACGTGCGTGGGAAGCATCGGCGGGGCGCTGATGACAAATCCCAGTGCGCCTGGTGTGGCTCAGGTAGATTAGTGGCTCTTAATCTTTTTAAGTACTCTACGGTATTCAATAATTATTCATTGAGGGGGAAGACACCTCAAATGCCTCGTCTTAGACCGACATCAAAACAGCAATGTTGTGTCTAATTAGATTATATAAGTGGGAGTATCAGGTGATAACTTTAACTATGTGTGACAGTTGCTACGGGACGTAGCATGTCATTCTACTTCTTCGCCTGAGGTAAAGTCTTGCGGTAAGCCTCCGCAAGTTCTTTTTGAATAATAGGAAGGACAGGCATATGCGTCTGAGAAGAAACATCAGCATCTTCCCCTCAGACGGTACACCGTGATCACTTACCCTGTACTCCATGCTGAATTCTCCTTTGCCCTGCGTTACGCCACGAAGTTGACTCGAGTAGCCGAACATGTCGTTCAAAGGGACTTCTGCAGTGCACACGAACTCCTCGCCTCGGACTTCGCTATCCAAAATCGTACCTCGCCGCTGGTTCAGGCTCCCGATGACAGCACTCTGGAACTCCGATGGAGCAATAACTTCAACTGTCATGATAGGCTCGAGTATAATGGGCCTCGTTTGCATGTAAATTTCCCTGAATGCGCTAATTGTTGCGATACGGAATGCCAATTCAGAAGAATCCACGATATGGTAGCTGCCATCTTGGAGAACCATGCGACAACCCACAATTGGATTACCAGAAAGGGTACCCTTCTCCAATGCTTCGAAATAACCCTTCCACACCCGTCAGCCTAGGTAAATGGTACAAACCGAAATAAACACACTTTTTCACATGCGGGGATATAGTTGGACGGAATAGCCCCACCCATGATGAGACTCTCGAACTGCGTGTCGCGGCCAATTTCAGGATCAAATTCCATAGGTTCCACGTAGCCAATGACACGTGCAAACTGGCCAGCACCTCCCGTCTGCTTCTTGTGAGTGAATTGAAAATGTGCACGCTGAGTAACGGTTTCGCGATATGCGACGCGCGGCTTGTCCGTGGTACACGCCACATTATATTCACGCCTCATGCGTTCCACGTGAATTTCCAGGTGAAGTTCCCCCATTCCGGAAATAATTGTCTACGGATCAGAGGTTAGATACGATCAAGTAACCCCTCGATTACTTACTTCTTTGCTCTCCGGGTCAATATGAACCTTGAAAGTAGGATCCTCCTTTTGAAATCGGCTGAGTGCGCGAGAAAAGTTTGGGGTTTCCTGGCCTATGGGTTTGATCGCAAGTGATATGACTGGCTCCGGTACATGCATTGATGTCTGTCACAACGGGTGATATGCATAACGACATTTACCAACTCAAAACCGACTCACCATAGAGAAACTGGTAGTTCCGTCAGTGAAAGTATCACCAGAAGAGCATTCAACGCCAAAAAGCGCACAAATCTCCCCGGGGCCAATGGAATCAATGTCCTGGAGAATAGTTGCAAAGATTGTCTGGACCGATGTCGAACACACTCACCTCCATCTCATTACTGTGCATACGAACTAAGCGAGGGACTTTGACCTTTTTGTCTGTGCGGGCATTGACGACGTAGGAGCCTTTCTTCAGGGTACCCTGATATACCCGCATGTAGGTCAGTTGACCAAAGCGACCCTCCTCCAATTTGAATGCCAATACGACAAGAGGCGCTTCAGCAGCTGGGACGAGAGGGATTGGAGGAGACGCAGGTTGAGTAGTATCGCGTGCCGTAACCGTCGACTCAGCTGGGTTAGCAAGGTATGAACATACTCCATCTAGTAACGGCTGCACCGCAGTGTTCTTGATCGCCGAACCAAGGAAAACGGGTGAAAATTTCAGTCCGACGGTTGTTCGACGAATAGCTTCGGCGATCTGCACATTCGTCGGAATCTCGTCACACAAAATGAGGTCACCAATCTGTTCGTCGACCTCCGCTAGCTGTTCAATGAGTTCCGCACGTTTTTCCTTTGCAAGTCCCAGAACTTCTGCGGGAATTTCGTCGGACTCGACAACGTTAATACTGGATGAAGGTAAGCCAGCGACGGGAGACACCATAACGCACTTCACATACCCTTTCTCTCCTTCGTTGTACACTGCTTTCCAACGAACAAGATCAACAACGCCCCTGAATTCATCTTCTACCCCTATCGGAACCTGCACGGCAGCGGCAGCGATCTTAAGCTTAGTTCGGATTTGGTTGATAACCCTCCAAGGGTTGGCACCGGGCCTACACGGTATATTCAACATATGAGGAAATCAAAGCAGATATCCACACACCTGTCCATCTTGTTAACGAAAGATATACGAGGAACATTGTATCGGCGCATTTGACGATCAACGGTGGTCGTTTGGCTCTTGAAACCCAATGAATATTCGATTGCGTTTCACTACTGAACGCATACCTGAACGCCCGCAACAGCACACAGTACCAAGATTGCGCCATCGAGTACTCTGAGAGCACGTTCGACCTCTATTGTGAAGTCGACGTGACCTAAAACCCGAAACGTCAATGAAGTACCACAACAGAGAGGTGCAGAGACATACCGGGAGTGTCAATAATGTTGATGGCATACTTGTCCTTGTCACCGGTTATTGGGGACGTCGCATTCCAATCGCAGAACGTCGCAGCGCTTTGGATGGTAATGCCTTTCTCGCGCTCCAGCTCCATGCTGTCCATCTTGGCACCGACAGCGTCTCGGCCACGGACCTGTGGAGTCAGTATGTTAAGTAAAGAACGGATCAGTTACCAAGGTGTAGCCGCAAACGTGCACACCAACTCACCTCATGAATGTCTCGAATTCGACCGCTGTAGTAAAGAATACGTTCTGTCAGAGTAGTCTTCCCTGAATCGATGTGGGCGGAAACACCAATGTTTCTCTGAAAATTAACTCTCTTCATATCGGCCCCAGAGAGCTCATACTTGGGGAACTCCAAGGGCGAGTTGGACGTCTTGCGCGCCACCGAGGCTGCAGACGCAGCGCGTCTCCCCACCCAGGAGACAAGGAGGCAAGTTGGCGGTGACCTGGTACCTATGAGCGCCCAACTCCATGGAGTGGGCGGGCGACGCAGTATCTGCATGGGTGAAGCACCTCGACTGTTTTCAAAAACTAAATTTTCGCCGAGTGGTCCCCATGTGGTAGCTTACGCAATACTTATGCTGGGCTGCTTTGGGCCCGCTACACGTCCAATTGCCGATTTTGCCTCGGGGATGATTGACGGAAAAGATTTTTGGAATAACGTGCCCGCAGCAACCGAGTGCCTATAATATATACAAGCAATAAATTAAGATTTTATCGAGTGACGCCTGGAACCAAGGCCTATCTTGGAGACTGTTCACGAGGCATCCGAGTGTCATTCCACGTGTACAATGTCGGCAAAAGGCTGGTACCAGCGTCATGTTTGTCATGGAACATACAGTTTACAAATTTTCATATGTGGAGCTTATACTGGCAGCTGTACCATAGGGCGGATGTCAACTATATATTCAGCATATACATAAGTATATACATCTCTCATATCCTGCCCAAACATATAGTTATGGGCAGGTCGACTGTGTCATGAGATGCTGATGGGACTGGGCGTGACAAATTCCGAGAAGTCATTCAATAGCATATTGCATACAAGTCATACAACACAGCAGAATGTTAACAGTCGCTACCGTATATACAGATGCAGTGTAAAGGAATGACAGAACAAGACGGCATACGTTGCAGAAGCTCAACTGACAGGAATCAAGACAAAAGGATAGAAAAGTGCAATGTGTCTACTGAAGGATTCCCAGATGTTGGACAATAGCGGGTGCTCGGCTGTTTCATTGCTAGACATCCCATCAGCGCTACCATTCATCCCATCATCATTGAGCCATTCTTCAATGAACTGTCCCTCCATGGGGATCCTTGGATCCCACGCAGACCAACTTCCATTGGGAAACATCGGATGAGCAGCAATGTATGCAAGCCAGAAGGCATCACGACCCCAAGCCCACTGGGGAACAGATGTCGTCCATACGTCATTCACAAGCCACCGTTCGGTGTCTTTTGACAGCGTGGCCCAGTGACAGGTATCCATGGGGTCGAACGTAGAGGCCAGAGGCAAGAATGGGATTGGGAAATCCCCAGCAGAATCTTCTTGATCAATGCTGCCTGGCACGATGTGTAAAGACTGCCATTTATTAGTCAGTAGTGAGCAGTGAAGATGGGGAAAAACTCATGGCGGCAAAACTCACAGCGATGGAATGAGTTGATCGCTCAGATTGGTGAGCACTCCATGCCTTTGCATGAATGACTGGCAAGGTAATCCCCTTGTATTCCTCGGAAATAGATGCAGAGATTTCGATAGGCTAATAATATATGTTCATCAGTGCCACAGAACGAATCAAAATGGGGGAGAAACACACACAATGTCTGTATGAATGAGACGTTGAGGTACAGGTCCAGAAAAGCAGACCATAACAATTAGCGGCTGCAGGAACACGGTTTCAGTGTCGGCATATTCAACATCAGGATAAACCACTGTGTTCACAGTGAGCAGCGTAGTCATTTTGGCATGAGCAGTGAGTGGTAAAGCTTCGAAGACTTGTCAAGAATCAGAAGTTTGCCAGTCACATGATACTGATTGCGCGTGTGAACAATACACTGGCAAGTCACCGCACCAAGCCAAAGTCCTGCACTGGGCTGCACATCCTGCACAGTGCACACTGCTGCTGTCGCCCACCCAAAAGTATGTTCGTCTCTGTTATATATGTGAAGGATGCCCAGGAACTCCAACATAGCACACCTTGTTGATGGCAAAAGTAAGTGCATTGAAATGAGCCATACTCCTTATCTTCTGTCACTAACTTACAGGCAGTCTTTCAGTATGTGCCAGAAAGAGGTACCTCAAGTGTATACTGCTTGGTCTGCCCAGCTGCAAATGGCCTTTATCATACCATCAACTCGAAACACATCAACAGTCACGCCAGCTCCCTCCTCCACCAATGCCATGTCAAGTACAAAACAAGCGGTTGCACGTCGCTTTCGGGTTTCCATGCCCCTCATCACACTCCTCGATTTGATTTCCCTAGCACCTCGTGCACAAGCCCTGAACTGTGTGACATGGATGCTGATAGTTTTGACAGATTGCAATACATGGGAGGCTTTGATGCTGAAGAAGATCCCACATCTGGACCATCTAAATTTCCCCCTTCGACCCCCGAGCCAGGGCCAGATGACATTCCGCTTGTCCCGTTGAACGAGCTATGGAACGCGATATCCAACAGCTGCTATCAAAACATAGACAGGACCTGCGATTTATTTCAAGAGCTGCAAGATGCGCTCGCCTCTGGTGAACCACTGTTTTCCGACCCAGCCGCTGCACTCAATCAATTCCCATGCGACGACATTCTTCTCGATGAAGACACGGAGTCTAACTTTGGTATTGAGCTTCTGGGTAAGTAGTCTATTTGCTCGTAGCTGAAACTTTCTTATGCCTGTTTAATCTCACATTCTAGACGATGAAGGCGACAAACCCACCCACTCTAACTCTGTGAAAACCAAGGTATCCACTGACAGCCCGACTTATCCTTGGCCAACGAAAGCTGTACGTTCAACTTTATTACGGTTGATAGCTCAATGCTGAACATAATTTCTATGTACAGCATTTTCTCACCGTGATACTATTCAATTCTCCAAGGCTTCCCTTTTCTGATCCACAAAAGAAAGCCATCCTCGACTGGGCAAAGGAACTCGGTGCCCACGATGTGCCATCTTTGTATGTGCTGAAACAGCGCCATGAGCAAGTCAAGAAAATTGTGGGTGACCTGACCAAGAAGGTTGTTTCACCATTTGGTAATGTCTTCTATATCAACGATGTTGCAAAGGCCATTGCGAAGGTGAGTGACCGATGGCTGACTTGGTCCATGTATAAAAGTGACACAAATGTATGTTCAGGCTTAGGACTATGCAAACCCCCTCACACAATTTGCGATGCAAGACTTCCCGGAGGACGGTGGCAGCGGAATGTCACAAGTTTTCCATGGGGAGAAGATACTACATGAACGACCATCTCCCCCCTCAGTCTGTGTCAATGGGAACGTTTATTATGTCGACGAGCTACTACAAGATTCGTCTGGAGCGTATTTTATACCTGAGCGCTTCTTCCTCACATCGCCAAGTGTTGCCTCAGGTTCTGGTGGAAGGCCGGCAGACACGAAAGAGCTCTTTGCTCTTGGACACACTGCTGAACAAACTGAAGTAAGTTTTATGATGCATCGAGGTGTGCTGTGGTCATTGATAAAAATGCTGGTGTGTTCGATCATAGGTTGGTTTTATTGTCGGCGATGAAAGGGAGATCATACCAACCTCAGCGTTCAGAAGATCATATGAGGATATCGCCTTCCGTCATTCTGAACTCACATGTGGGTTGACCGAGTCGTCGAAGAAGTACGTATCGCTGGAACCCAACCCGTGGCGTAAGAAATCAGGTGGTTGGATGGTCTACGCCGTCCCGTTGGTTATCTTTATGGATGATGTGTCTGGCAATATCTCCAAACAGTCACTGCAAGCATTTCACACTTTTTGAAGAGTAAACATGGTGAAAAAATTGAAGGAAGAGATACTGTTTCATTTCCAGTGTTTTCACAGAAAAAATCCAAAGGTAAAGTTGTATTTTCTTTGCATACCTACCTATAAACATTAATTGTTGGTAATGACCATTAGGTTCAGTCCTAGTGGGTATTACCATTAATTCATGTTTGCCAGTAGAGAAGACAAAGAAAATCTAATATTATTTTTTGATTTTGTTTGTGAAAACATCCAAAATAACATGGTATCTTTTCCTTCAATTTTTTCAGCATGTTCTCTGATGAAAAATTGTGAAATGCTTGCAGTGAGTGGAACAAGCATTATGTGATATACATGTCAAATGCAAACCTTCCATGTGAAATGTTGGATCAAGAGTTCTGTGTATGGTTCGTCACATCGTCTCCACATGCTTCTCCTATGGAATTGATGCATGGAATGAAGCAATCAATACTGTAAGTCCCATTCATGCTCTACAAACTCTCACCATCTCATTACATCTCTGCTTCAGGAGTGCCGCTGAGTCAGGTATAATCGCTTGGGACTGTCAAGACAATGAAGAAGTGATGTTGATTCCATATGGATTATTTCATGCAGGGGACAATCCTATGCAGGCAGAGGAGTGTAGCCAGGGTGGTTTGAATTGTAACCTGCTTTTGTCGAACTTGTGATGTTGGAGGAATGAAGGAGCACAAGGAGTCCAAGCAGGGATACTGTAGCTTGTTCAAGGTCAGGCAAATATTCCCTCTTGATTTGAGTTCGAAACTAATATCTCATGCCAGTCAGGAAACCTTTGCACACCAGAGGGAATGGTGAACGAAATCAAAAATCAGTTCGTGAATGCAAAGCTGTCTGGTGCAATGGAAAAGGTCAAAACATCGCTTTCAACTGACTGGAGTTCGTGACTCGCTGTCGCTTGGGATTTTAACTATGCTTGTTGAGATGGGCAAGAAGCTTCGCAAGCGAGGTGCTGGTGTTCCCGCAATGAAAGAGAGCGAGGTCAAGGCTGCTTTGGAGAAGGAACTCAAGGATCTTCTCAACGGAAAGAACCTGGACGACGTGATAAACCCACTCTTAGGCATGAACGGTGAGGCAGCATTTTACCTCTTCTTGTGCAATTACTAATAGTCCTTCAGGTATGAATATACACTTGGACACGCCAACAGAGATTCTTCATACGATTCTGCTCGGTGTCGTAAAGTACTTCTGGGGACAGACCGTGTATCTTATCAAGAAGGCAAAATTGCTCGACGTCTTTCAAAGTTGCCTGGGTTCAATCAACCACGACGCACTCAATGCACCAAGTTTGAATCCGGAATATATTTGTCGCTACAAAGGTGGACTGATCGGGAAGCATTTCAAGAGCTTAGCACAAGTAATGCCATTCATTATCCATGACTTGATACTGCAGACTGTGATAGATGGATGGACAACTCTTGGAGAATTAGTCGTGCTCCTTTGGCACACAAAGATCGATCACATTGAAGTTTACCTGGTTAGTATTCCTCACGCACTGAACGACATACTCATTGATTTGTTGAAATCAATAGGCGTGGCTCACTCGGACGATAGAAGACTTCCTCAATGTCACAGCAATCTGTGCTCCCAGTATCCTCATAACAAAGCCGAAGTTTCATTTCCTCATTCACCTCCCAGCATACATCCGCCGTTTTGGACCAGCAATCATTTTCTCCACCGAGCATTATGAATCAGTTCAACCGTGTCTTCAGGCTCTCATGTATATACAGCAGCCAGCAGGGCCCAAGTCAAGATACATATCATAGATTCGTGCAGCTCGACCTTGTCAAGCATATCATCACCGGTGGATACTGGTATGAGCAAGAACTACAGAAATGGGTTTGTGCTGGCCCTTTCGTTTTGAGCTTTCTCTGCGAGCACCCGGCACAAGGAAAATTACTTGGGATCAAGTCCAACGAGGACCCTTGTGAGACAAATGGTAAGTACGAGCGTAAATTCAGTCTGAGCATTTCTGATAGCCTTTGTCTCCAGCAACTGGACAAATTCTTCGTGTTCCAGCTACTAGCGGGAAATCGAGGACTCAGCTCTCAAATGCAGTGGATTGGGAGACAACAGCATGTGCGAAAATCCCAGCCACTCAGTTGACACAGGCGCACAAACCGGCATATTATCAAGGGGATGCTTTCATTTCCAAGCACGGTGACAAAGTACGTCGACCCCCTTCCCCACCCACCCGCCTGAGGGCGGCATTTCCTTTTATGGGAATTCCCTCGGCATCGCCACCTGCAAATTTTTCGTGCTAAGTCAGTTTATGTTTGCCTAGGGGAGACTAGCTACAAGTACTTAGGGTTCGATGATACTCTGCACGCCGCACCGAAACGACCATCGTCTCGAACCAATTCAAGCTCCTCCCTCCTTTCAGGAATATTTAATCTATTAGGGGAATTCACAGCACGTTTTCGTACGCCGTTTTCGTGCGATTTTAAATTTCATTTTGGACAGGCCCACTACTGAGTGACTGAGTGACTTGAGAACGATGTGAAAACGGCAAAGCTTGGACGTTTTCACGGGCGCCAGTGCTGACTCAGCCTGTCAGACATCATTTCCCCAATCTATGCCTCGTAGTAATAAGCCGAAGGGGCAGTCAACACAATATCACTGGTTGAGGAGGTACTATGCAGGTGTTCATCAGATGATTCAGAGCTTGTGCTCTCAGAACCACTGGAATTGGAGTCAGAAGAGGTTGGGGGATCAAAGTATGAGTGAGATTCAGCAAGTAGAGTAACCAGATAGACATCAAGAAGGACTTCTACAGCTTTCTGCCTTTCTGTGGTGTGAGGCAATATATGGTTTCTGATGACTTGTTCAAGATAATTGCTTATCTACACACATTCAAACCTCGGAAACAGCCAAAATGAAGCCAAAACGGGGGATACCAAAGCAAACTGCCGTTTTCAGCCTTACCCGGTCAACGAAAACAAATCGAAAACAGCATCAAAAACGAACGAAAACGACACATGAAAACACGCTGTGAATTCCCCTATGTATTCAATGGCACCGTCTGGCTCATCCGCCTTCGGAATCTTTTTTTCCCCCTCAATTTTAGGTCTCGCTCTTGTCTCGGGTCATCCGACTTTCTGTCCTCGGGATGGGCATTGTGTGTGCTTCCTTCCCCTTTTGATCACAAAAATTTTCACCTGCCCTCAGCGTCTGCCATCTCTGTCGGGCACTGGCACAAGCCTACTTTTCTTTCCTAATAGTGATGATTTCTTGTCAGTCGTCACCCCCAAGTATAACATCAAACTCGTGTCACGTTGACCAGTGAAGACTTGCTGCACTAACTGCCGGTGCTACTGCTGGCGGGTATTTTAAACAGACTGTAACTTACTTGCATCATCAGAATCGCTGATTCGTTTGCAGTCTATCGTCCTCGTGTCATTCATACTCGTACTTCTTCATCAGGGAACATCTGAGGCCTTTAAAGCGGGCCTCCACCAAAGTTTGTGTTCCATATTGTTATTCTCCCGCTCGTTTGAATGATATTCATGGGCCAAGTAGTGTCTCTTGTCGATATCCAGCACTCCTGCTTGTCAGCATAGGTGTCAACCTCGGAACTCTCAAGTTGTTCCTCCTCATTCTCCACTAGGCCCATTGTGCCTCTGAATCATATAATTTTGACTGCCCTGCAAGGCCTTTATTCCGTCGCCCTCTGTGTGAGATAATCCATTTGAATCCCCTCCGTCATCGCCACCTCTGCCCTTTTATACTGCGCCGTCCACTTCCTTGACATCTTCGCAGGCCGAAGATCCACCACTAGACTCTCCCACCCATTCTCTGCCACAACTATCCGGAGCCACCAACAGGTTCACATCCCTGCCACATACCAACCCTCTTCCGCTCCCCTTGACACCCCTAGTAGAGCTCGAGATGAATTCCCTTGTGGAAGCCTACCCTGTACTTGACACCACAGCAGATTTTACGCTGGATGACGAGGGGCTCACCACACTTGAAAAAATTTACCTTTTCTCCCACGGTAGATCTGCACACCACAAGTAAGCTCCGTCCTATTTCCTACTTCGTTACTGTGGCACAAGTTCAGTCACATCTCACATGTAGGGTATTTATTTCACATGCATTACCATCACTAGAAGATAGGGCCGTCGGGGACGGCAGGCACCTTGTTTACGGATGCGACATAGATCCCCATAATTTACATGCGAGTTTTCGATGTCTAAAGATCACATACCACTTATTGCTCCGCTGTCAACTCCTCTGTCTCCACAACGTCTCCCCATCCTCGTTCGCAAGTACACAGTGCAGCAGTGCATTAGCATTGAGCTTGGATGGGCTAAGCCTACAATCCTACATAGTTACATGCCTACAATTCATTGTCACCATGATTTGAATCGGACTTTGTTTTCGGGAGGATCGCGGTTGCCGAAAAATGCACGACGAATTTCGGGGTGCAGTGACCTTGTAAACAAGGTGATTTCTAGCGCATGTCACTCTACTTGAAGCCGTCATTTTTATTGAATGAAATAGACACCATTTTCAATGACGAGGAGACTTTTATTTCAATGACCTTAACACTTTTTTAGTAGGCCAAATGGACACTGAAATTCAATGACACACTGTTCTTCAGCTGTTCCAACACTCAGCAAAAGTGATTTACACATTGAATTTTAGTGATTTAACTTTTCGTAGTGAAAACGTGGTAGGGTATGAAAAATCCACCCACCCATGATTGGGAAAAACATGGCAGGGATGTGCAAATCAACATGTGACATGTCATGATACTCCCGGGCCTGCCGTGGGCTTTGTTCTTTGGAAAACCACCATAATGCCAGCATATGTCGAGCACAAGACCCTAGTTGGTGAACATGGCGATTCCGTGAACACTGTTGCCTTTTCTCCCTGTGGGAAATATCTCGCGAGTGGTTCTTCCGACCACTCCGTCTGTATATGGAATGTACACAAAGGTTCTTTTCTCTTTCGCGTTGTATTCGATAGCGCTATCAATATCCTCCATTGGCACCCCACTCGAGAAGAGACCTTGATATGCGGCTGCGAAGATGGCTCAGTGCTATCCATGAGTGATTTCAGACCCGTAAGTAACAGTAACCTCTTTCGGAGTCATCATAATCAATGAACAGTGATAAATTCTTCAGAGTGGATTTGAAAAGAAGGTTATCTGTCTGGGCGTCAAAGCTCCTGTTTTCTGTATGGACATTGACACAAGCGCGAATCTGTGGGCAATAGGTGTTGGCAACCAAGTTAATATCACCGCTGGCGATAATCAAGGTGGGTGACTACCAAGAATCCTACGCTTCTTAGTCCAATTAAAATCTGCAGATGAATATACTGCTGCAACTAGGCTACCTCCCCCGCCTAAAGTCGAGGCCAAATACACTGAGAATGATTCACGTATCCGACCACGTGCCCTTCACTTCATTGGTGGTGGCCGCAACCTTATCGTCTCCTACCTCAACCATGGTATAGTGTAAGTACCATGCAGAGATAGTCGTTTCAGATCATGCCGAGGTTTTTCAGGGCGTGGAATATCATTGACAAGACCATTACATGGCACGTCAAGCCCCCCTCAATTTCTCAAATGTGAGTTTTGCAGGTGCATGGGACGCGCTCATTCGTATATCTCAATGTCACAATAGTGCAAGCTCCGCCATTCGCCATGACATAAATGTCCTTGTTGTAAATACTCTGCAAGATGGTCTTTGTCTTTACAAAATAGGTAGCAAGAAGGCCATCTGGAAATGGGACCATGAGGCAGAATGCGATGTACAATGCCCTTCGTCAATTTCATTTCTGCATGGAGGGCGAGCTGTGGTCTCGGGTGCAATTACTGGAAATGTCCGTGTCTGGAACATGGATTCGAAGGATCTGTATCAGGTTCTCCCGCATGGCGGTAAGTGGTCAAGTGAGATTACTGGGCTCAGGTGTTGACCACGCCGGTTTAGGTGACGTTATACAAGCTCTAGCAGTAAGCATAATGAGATATCCTATTTCTCATCTGTGATGCAGTAGCCGATATCCCTACAGACTTATCAACAGGGTGCATGGAACTATATTGCAGTCGGATCTGCATTGAAAGGGCAGGGCACCTATATTAAAATTTGGAAGGCAGACATCAGTTCGTACCTCCCTGACTCATGTTCAATGTAATTAATCTGGACTTCACAGCCTCTTCTTCGGATATTGTTGAAGAATTCTGGCATTGGTTGATGGTTCGTTATGTTTTCTTACCGTTGTAAGTGGTGTTTAGGTTCACTCGACTTACTATTTTGGAGGTCGTACGTTTTTCTATGGATTTGAGTGATTACAGGCGCATAGTGTTAGCAGTAGTATTCACCATACTATGGGCCACCGCTGCTTTTGCTGCCGTACGGTTAATGTGGTTGCGTATCCCGTGGGGAGGGATTTGTGAGGATATCATCAATTTTGTGCACGTGGTTGATTTCCCATCCACACGAACCCAAAAACTAACACTATTTAGGTGCAAAATGTGGCGTATACAGGACTGTCGCTTGGGTTATGGCTGGCATCAGAGGGATGCCTTGTCCTTCTTACAGCGAGAGGTTTTATTCGTGATGTAGCTGTGGCAATGGTGGATTGGCTGCGGTCGGCAGTTCGCTCCTTCCTTGATTTACCTCCACCAGTCCATCATCAGCAGGAGTAACAGTCTCATAGTTCCCAAAACCTACCATTCTGTCCATCACACATCATATTTGAAATCGTACGATCTATGTATATCTTTCCAATGCAAAACTTGCCAACAGGGCAAGCTCTCGTAATTTCAACATCCGTAAGTACATGCCTCCAATTGAATCTTAGTCAAGGCACAAGCAGTCTCCAATTCAACCTTAGTCGGCAAAGTCCGGAATCCTGTTCCCTGACAAGTGCTGTTATTCCTGGACGCATCCTGGTCCAGGTCTGAAAATTGTTTTGTCCCCCGAGTTTTTGCCGGACCGAAATGGCCGGGTTGTCTGTTTTTGGAAATAACCCTGTTATGGGGGGCCTAACTTTTGGGGCGTCCAGTCCGAGAACAGTGAGTCTAGAGAAAATGGCTCTGAGGTCGAGGGTAAAGGTAGTTCAAGCAGTGTCAATGATGGTCTGGATGAAGACTTAACACTGTATTCATTCTGACCAGGAGTGGAGGCACAATGATACTTACTTCCATTTCTCCAGTCTCAGTTAGGTCGCAGTCGGGAACGTTTCCAGAAAACTTCCTGCTTCCGTTATCACTTGATGAGGATAGAGCACAAAAAACAGTCTCGAGCTTGCGTCAGATCTTCGTGCAGAATGCAGTGTTCGACTTTGTTTTCCTTCACGTTCAAGGGCGCCGTGAGACGACCGAGGACAATCGAAATCTAGCCCCCCCTCGGATGTGGGGAGAGGAAATCCTCTACCTACGAGTTCTTGTTTGTTCTCCGTTAAATTCATACAGTTATATCTATTCGCAATACTAGAATTGGAGAGGCTCGAACTACGGTGCAATTCCTTCGGTCCGTGGCGGTGTGCCCTGAACCAGCGAGGAAGACACCCAAAGCATCGCTGGTATGGATATCTTTGAGCTATGTCCATCAGGCATTCATTTCTGTTCGAAGAAAGCAGGGGATAGCATCAAGCCAGGGGAGCTGAACATCATGTTCAGGGACTCCCCTGTTTGTTGCCGGTGTGGGTAATAGCTATGGCGCACTCTGGGACCCCAGTTCAATCCAGGCACATTACTGTTGGTGATCAACTCTTGGTAGACCAAGGTATTAAGAAGTACGAGTACGAGCTGTGCTAGATGCTACAGATTGCCGCAGGAACAGAAACAGCCTGAATGATGGTGTTGTCACCATAAGCAACATTGTTGGTTAGACTGTAAGCACAAAGACCACGATTGATAATACACCTGCCCTCCAGGCAGTCCAAACTGGCAATACTCAGGAGGGACCAAAGAGAGGTCAGGAGGCGGAGAAGCAGTGGAGGATGCACAAAGCTTCACATCATCAGCAGAGAGCTGCAAGCAGAACTGTCTAGAGCCAGGAAGAGCACAGGCTCTGACATACATGGCAGCATTGATGAGTGAGATGAGCAGAGCAGAGCATGGCATGTCAGTGTCAAGTCTGGGCCTACTCCAACCAACTCTGATGCTAAACAAGGTCTAGAGAGTGGTTCAGAAGCAAGTCCAACAGGGAAGAATGGAACTCTGACTAGTGGAGTGGTGGCAGGAATGAAGTCCGCTGAAGCAAAGGTGGAGCAGAGTGAGGGCGTTGGGTTTAACTCATGCACTACCCCCTTGCACAATCTCATCCTGAAAAGGAAACAGTCCAGGTGCTGGACCATGCAGTGTGCGTGCTGTGGAGTACCTGACTGTGCACTGTCAAGGAGAAGTCTGAAGGGTGGTCACATGACTCCTCAGAGAATGGTCCACCCAGTCTGGTAGGAGAGCAACACAAGTCTGACAGCAGTCAGAGCGGAGATGATTCACAACCAACAGAAGCTGGATGGAGTTGGTGTGGAGTGTGTAGGGACTTATAATGAATGCACGGTTGTGACAGTGCCCCCCCTTTTAGGGCCTGAACCCCTGAAGGCTGCAAGTACAGGACGAGACCAACATGAGTTGATCATTTGAAATTAGTTTGATGCCTCAAGGACAATGGTTTAGCTGTGGTGGAGCTCTGTCGGAGTTTGAAGGACCACTTAAAAACATGTGTTAGGGTACTGAACCTTCATCCTTTCCCCTCATCATCATGTCTTCCCATTGCCAGAGCAAAACCCCCCAACCAACCCCTGGTCATGTCCATGACTACTCCCAAGTTGCAGATGAAGAGTTGGTCATCCTGACCAATGACTCCACTGACACCGAGCAGGAGAAGTCTGCAGAGAAGGCATGCCAATGAGAGGAGGCCGAGTGGAGAGAGAGGGAGTGCAAGGCAGAGCACAAGGCCAAGTGTGAGGAGGCCAAGAGGCAGAGGGTGGAGGAGGAGCAGTTGGAGGTGGAGCAGAAGAAGAGAGCAGAAGAGGAGGCTCAGAGGAGAAGGGCAATGGAGGAAGAGGAGGCTCAAAAGAGGAGGGCGGCAGAGGAAGAGACAAAGAGCCTCTCAGGAGTGGGCCCAGGCCAGGCAGGATGAGGCCGCAGCAGAGGTGAGTAGCAGATCACTGCGAGTCAGGCAGAGCTGACCTATTCTCTTTTTGACTTTATTCTATTGCAGGTTAACTGGCACAGTGTATGACATCAACACCACCCAGAAGGTCCCTAGGGCCTCTGTGGTGGTCACTGTGACCAAGCAGCCCCCTTGCACTCACTGTGTAGCAAGTCTGATGGCGAGCCAGTGCAAGCCAGGGCAAGGTAAGACCAGGGCCTGCATGCCCTGCCACAACAAAAAGAAGATGTGCAGCTAGATGTGAGAAGAGGCAGTGGCAGGGCCTTCACAGAAGAGAGCAGGGATGGGGAGCTCCTGAGGAGAGAAGAAGAAGAGGATGTGAGGGAAGGGAAAGGAGAGGGCAATGGAGACAGAAGAGGCAGATGACGAGCAGGCAACACTGCACAAGGGACCCTTGAGGGTGGGGGTCTCCTCCTGGTGGGTGGAATGGGAGTGGGAGAGGCAGCTGCAGGCTGTGGAGAGGTATGCAGAGGTGCACGAGAGGGCTGCGACTGCCTTCGAGAGGATGGCAGAGGCAGCAGAGCAGATGGTGGTGGCGGCAGAGAGGACAGCTGACAAATGGGGGCTGTACTGTGAGTGGGTGGAATGGGTGGAGATGAGGAGGAGGGAGGATGCATGCGAGGCCAGGATGGCCGAGCTCAAGTGCTCAGGCAGAGGTTGGAAGAGGCCTCAGTCGGAGGCAGTGGAGGACCATCAAGAGGAAGTGGATGAAGGTGTGGATGGGGACAATGAGGAAGAGGAAGAAGTCAGAGGAGAGAAGGAAGGCAGAGAAGAACAAGTGGTGGAAGAGTAGAGTAGTTTTGTTTTCTTTTTTTGTTTTTTTTTTTTGTCTTTAGTTTGTATATTTTTTGTACTACTACAAGATAGACTTATGATTTTGTCCGTGACTCTGAGAAGTGAAACAGATAAGCAGAGAAAATTCTAAAGTACTTAAGGCAGTTTGGTAAGAGGCAGAGTTGGCCCATGGAGGAGGACTATGTAGGCAGAGTATTATGGCAGTGGTTGGTACAGGCCAGGTTTGTGTGGATAGCAGTTCATGGAAAGTGGACACTATGTCAGAAGTGTGATCTAGCTCAGTTGCAAGCAACCAAGAGGTTTCTTCATCAGTGTTCTTGTAACCAGCCCAGCAGACTAGATACAAGAGTTGACAGTGGCAGGTGACAGTGGTCCACCTTAGAGTCGAGTATCCCTGATACTTCATACTCAAGGTCACCATCGACATCCACTGGCAGAGGCAGAGGTTGTTGTTGGTTTGGGAAAGGATTAGCCACTGCAGCTTCCAGTTTTGAGACATGGAAGACTGGATGTACCGAGTGCATAGAGTCAGGGAGCTTAAGGGTGACAGAATGTGTACCTGGCCTGGCCAAGATGGTGAATGGACCTAAGTACTTTTTGGAGAGTTTTTCTGAAGGATGTGTTGAGCAGAAGTACTTGGCTTTGACATAGGCCTGTTCTCTGACCTTGAACTCAGGCAGAGGTATGTGTTTAGCATCTGCTGGACCCTGGTAGCACTGTTGAGCGGCGGACATTTCAGAGCAGAGGAAGTCATGAAGGGTGGAGAGCTCAACGACATAGTTGTGAGCCCTTGGAGAGGTGAAGTCTTGGTCAGGGACCACAGACAGGTTTGGATGGTATCCCTTGTTAGTGAAGAAGGGAGAAACTCCAGTTGTCGCACTTGGTGTGTTGTTGAAAGCAAACTCTGCTAGAGGCAACAGCTCAGCCCAGTTGTCTTGTTGGTAGTTACAGTAAACATGAAGGTCCTGCTTGAGGGTCTGGTTCATTCACTTGGTCTGGCCATCACCTTATGGGTGGTAACCCAAAGTGAAGTGAAGATGCATATCAAGGGCCTTTCCTAGAGAGCAGAAGAAGTGTGAGACAAATGCAGGACCTCTGTCAGAGGTGACATTAGCTGGTACTCCATGCTTGGAGAAGACATGGGTAAGGAAGAGCTTAGCAAGTTTGGCAGAGGTGATGGAGTCATGGGTGGGGATGAACACTGCTTGCTTTGAGAGGTGGTCCACTACCATGAGTATGGCGGAGTAACCATTGGAGTTGGGGAGGTGTTCAATGAAGTCCATGGAGATGGAGTTCCAAGGTCTCTCTGGGATGGGGAGTTGCTTCAGTAGACCATAGGGGTGGTGTCATGGAGTTTTGCTCCATCCACAGGCAGTGCAGGACCTGACGTATTCCTTCATGTTGGAGCAGAGGTTGGGCCACACGTAGTCCCTGCAGACGAGTTCTAAGGTGTGGCTCTGCCTGAAATGGCCTGCTAGAGGATGATCATGCTTGAACCGAAGCACTCGAAGGCAGAGATCATCAATGTCAGGGACAAAGATGTGACTGTCAAGGTGGAGTAGACTGTCAGAGTCCAGGGACCACCAAGGCTTAGTTGGAGTTGAGAGGTGGCTGGCAGAGACAGGGTTGGAGGGTAAGGTGGAGATGATGTTGGAGTGCAAGCACTCAACATCGAAAACCATGGCAGTGCAGAGCACAGGTGCCATGAGGGTAGTGGTATGGAGGGATGAAGTGAGTTGCTCCTGTGTAAACATTGGGCAGAGATTGTGAGGATTTACCTGCACATAGTCCCTATCCCCCCCTTTTGGGTAGACGT